CACAGACAGGGTCGTCCCAATATGCGTTTTTGCAATTTGCATATAGGCAAAAACGCATAAAAAGACGTATTATGACGAGATTATCGAATCTTCTGTACGTATGTATGTGTTCAGATAATTTACCGAAAATACTACTGCGGTGAGGTAAAAACTAGCGTGATTTTTAATTTACAAAGCTATTAATTCGAATGGCCGTTTTGGTGTTCCCATGCCCGGAATTCTGATTTCAAGTCCAAATTCGAGTAGGTAACAAAAAGGAAGAGCCGCGAATTCCAAATTTATCCGAACCAAAGTCACAGTCCCAGAACTGAATGGGTCAAAAGTCAATAATCCTGACCGTTTCTGGAAACATCATTAAAGCTAAAATATTATTCTGGTGCAGCAAATCCGTCTTTTCCACGAAATGATGATTCTTGCTAATAAATTCACCAGCAGCTGCCTTTTCTGATAATTAGCCAGAAGTCACGGATCACTCCCAATATAAACAAATTAGAAAAGTAGCACGCCAAAAAAATATGTACCTGAAAATCGAAGCATTGGCCCAAGCCAATTCGAGAGCCTTTCTCATCAAAAAACCACCAAAGATTTTTCCGTAAATGTTACGTTTCACTGGGAAGCATACAATGGTGTCGTCAAGTTTAGCATCATGAATCCATACATGATCGGGGGGCAGAATGCGACCACGCACTGAATGACCACTGCAAAACACTTCCATGCAACTACTGGAGAGCAAAAACTTGGGTATAGGGTCGAAAGACTAATCGATTTATCTAACAGCTGGTTTCCGCTGAAGTTTCCCCCAGGACAGCTGGCTCATTTTACACCTCCTGGTAGTCCCCCGCAATGCAGCCAAATAATTACATCCCAGAGGAAATCGAAAGGGACGGCAGCGAACTATTCAGACTCCTGTTTTATACTGTGTAAGAACTACTCACCATACTCAACAATGACCTGTTCTAAAAATTTCTCAATTCTGGAACTAAAAAAAGATTGCTGACCTGAACTGCTGATGATTGCAGTCCACTCTTAATAGCCCGTAAGAGAGTTTTCAAACGTCGGA